CATTGAGTATCACATTGAAACCATAAAGAAAAATTTTAAACACCCAAAAAAAATGAAAAAAACATATAGCATTCGGAGAGCTTAGAAGGATTCACAACATGAACAAACAACTGTGCACCATCGGCATTGAGACTGCCCTCCAAATTCCAAAATTAAAACTATAAATAAATTAGATCAATTTGAGGAAGAATCTGAGTAGAAAGAGGGAGTAACCCACCTGTTGTGTAGAGGTTCAAGAAACTTCAGCAATATTGTTTGATGCATCAACTCTACTGCTTGATAAGTTATTGTTTCAGTTGTATTCAAAAGTTACAGAGAGATTAGAAGATGAGGAAGAAGAAGCAGAAAACTATAGGATCATGAGAGTTTGGCGGGGAATAAAATTCATATGCACAACCATATTGGAGAGAGAAAAACTGTAGAGTTAACGGTGTTCATGAAGATCGTTGCATCTTTTATTTATTTGTTGATGTGACAAATTTTATGATAAGGATGCCAACTGTTGGAATGGTAAAATTTGGTTGGTTTGTTATACCATGTTAGCAAAGTGACATGGTATAACTGTTGTAACCAATATTTTCTCCAGAAATGGAGAGAGAGGAGCATTTCTCTTCAACTTCTTCATGCGATCAAGCAAGATCTGAGTGGCGGTTCTCCTAGGAGCAAGAACTAAAGTTTCTCACAACGGTGAGGGCTTCGCGTGGGTACCAATCATGCTCCATTACGACACATTTCTAAAATTAGAGTTTTGGCTAGAGGTTGAACAAATCATCATTTGATATCTTGAGGAGTCAAGCTACCTCATGTGTACGTGCGCACGCTACTAGATATATAGGGTTCACTTCTATTGAGGTTTACTTTCAATCTAGGGTTGCTATATAAAATGGGTGGGGCTATGGGTGTCTGTATCACATGTTTTAACTCTTGACTAGTGTAACTAGTGGGTTAAGATTGAATATGAGCTTTTGATGAACCTTCACCTTGCTTAAATTTGATTTGATGAAATGGATTATTGATTTCACTATGTGTTTGCATTGTATACACCCTATATGTTTGACAAAATGCCTAAATGAAATCAAGCATGTTAATTGAGTTAATTTAACATATGTTGAGTGATATGATAGAATGTTGTTATATGTTTCCATGATATACTTAACATTATGATGAAGTTTATATAGTTTTCCAGAAGGTTTCCCCCTTCTCTCTCTCTCTCTCTCCCCCCCCCCCCCCAAAAAAAAAAAACACACACACACACAAAACCGCTCTTTTTAAAGTATATTTGGTACTTCATTATAACAGTCAAGATGAAAGTTTCATATTGTTTGTGATGAAGAACTTTATGATGTGTTTGACATAACTTGTGCAGGGCAACTGGTGATAAGGATGTGAGGTGTAAGGTGTTGTATTGCAGCATTTGTTGGTTTTTTGTGGAGTTTAGTTTGTATATGTGATCCGGATGATGACCCAACCTGAAGTAATGTTGTGTGATTTTTTAATGGAAAATTTTCTGAGGCTTAGTCTATGGAGCGAAGGCTTGGGCCGATAGGCCCAAGCCGTAGCGCTCTCCGAGGAAAATTTTTGGGCCCGTTATATAGCCCAGTGCGTAAGACATATAAAACCCGTTGTTTTGGTGATTAGGGTTAATATGGTGGATTGTACAGCCGCTCTCTGTATTCAACTCTCTCAATAGTGAAATTCCTGCAGCTTCGTGGACGTAGGCAAATTGTCGAACCACGTAAAATCTGTGTCTTGTTCTTTCTTGCTTCTTATTGCTTTATATTCTTGATTTGTTCTTCGATTGTGTGTGTTTGTTAGTGGATTTAAATTGTTGTTAAATCCCAACAGAATTTGCCACTTGGATCTTCAATTTATTAAGAACCAATGGGGTGTAACAAAGTATCCTATTGTCCCAGGGTAAGTTTGTATTCTCTCCTGATGCACATGTATGATAGAATTACAATAATTTTTTGAGGACGTACATTTACATTTTGTGATATTAAGGCCTGATTGTTCTTTCATTAGCACTATGCTGGACCAATTATCTGTTTACTTTTGGATTTGATATGTTTATCAATTTGAAATGATCAACGCAGGCATGAGATTGTGGGTGTAGTAATGGAAGTAGGCTGCAAGGTACAAAAGTTCAAAGCTGGGGACAAAGTGGTTGTGGGATGCTTTGTGGGATCGTGTCGCAAGTGCGAGAGTTGCACTAACAATCTTGAGAATTACTGCCCGGAACAGAAACTCACCTACGGTTCTACCTACTTTGATGGAACCATCACATATGGGGGCTACTCTGATCACATGGTAACTGATGAGCACTTTGTATTTCGTTGGCCCGACAATTTGCCACTTGACTCTGGTGCTCCCCTCCTATGTGCTGGGATCACTACTTATAGCCCTTTGACAACTTGGACTTAACAAGCCAGGTATGCATATTGGGGTGGTGGGTCTCGGAGGACTAGGTCATGTAGCTGTGAAATTTGCCAAGGCTTTTGCTGTTAAAGTGACAGTTATAAGTACATCTCCTAACAAGAAGGACAAAGCTATCAAAAAGCTTGGTGCTGACTCATTTTTTATCAGCAGTAATCCTTACGAGATGCAGGTTATCATTATTTGGAAGTTGGTATTGATAGAATGAATCTTAAGTCGATACATGGTGGTTAATGATTCTATTGTGGGTATGTTGAAATTGAGCAGGCTGCAAGGGGCACATTGGATGGTATCATAGATACCGTCTCTGCAGCACATCCTCTCGTACTGTTACTTAGTCTGATAAAACTCCATGAGAGATTTGTTTTGCTTGGTATTCCAGCTAAGCCGCTAGAGATATGAGCGGGCGCTTTAGTTCTTGGTAAGCAATCAATTTTGCTTGTATTGTAAAAGGGCAGACAATATTCTTGCAAAAATTGAGTTATCTGGCTATTTAATGTAGATTTCGAAATATGCCTATTGAATTAATTTCTACTGATCTTTTGCATAAGTATATAATTAACAATGGGATATGGGATGAGTAGGCCGGAAGAGTGTGTCGAGGAGTTCCACCGGAGGGTTGAAGGAGACGCAAGAGATGCTTGATTTTCCAACTAAACACAATATTACAGCACATGTGGAGGTTATTTCTATAGACTATGTCAATATTGAAATGGAACGTCTTGAGAAAGCTGATGTTAGATACCGATTTGTCCTTGATGTAGGAAAGACACTGAAGGCTGCCTAATGTGAAATTTAGTGCCCCAAGTTCACGCTATGGGAAATATGGTTATGATAGAGTTCTTGAGGCAATCCTTATGTTTTGTGTCATGTTATCTGTCTAGGAATATATTTTCTTGGAGTTCACTTGGGCTAATTTGATGTTTGTCTGAGAATGGCCTCAAGTTATTTCAGTAGTTTGATGTGTAAGCCTCTAATATCTGTGGTTTTGTTTTGTTCTGTAGTGTTTGTGTCAGCTTGGACCTGATTATAAGATTACATTTATAATAAAGCTGCCCTTATGAATGTAGTTCACCTTCTTCCCATTCTCTTCTTCTTTGCAGTTTCTGTTTTGTTTCAATTGATGTGGATTGAGTCGCACTCTCGCAAATCATTCAATTTTTATGGTAGTTGAGTATTTTATTACTAGATATCTTGTTTCAGGATTGGCTGAATCTCTTGAGTATCATTTAGCTAAGCTTGGACTTGATTGTCACATTTTTTGGGGATTGGAAATAGCGTGTGTAGGCGAGATTGCAAACTCAAGAACAGGCACCCTGCTATTTATTAATAGATCAAATAAAGGGGAGAGGTTATAATTATTTATGGTAAAATTACTACCTTTAGATATGAAGTTATAACTATTTAAGGTTAGGTTACAAAAATTAAAGGTAAAAGTACCACCTGTAGATGTGTATGACATTACAATCTCTTGAGGTTAGTTTACAACCTTTTAAGGTAATGTTATTACATTTATAGGCAAAGTTATCACTTTAATAAGTAATATTTAATGACAAAAAATTCACAATCACACATTTGAGTAATATTTAATATCAAAAAATTTACAGCCGCACTTTTTTTGCGGTACAGTACCACTATTTGACCAGGCGATACCGTAGACTCTCCCCAAATAAAGTAATCGTACTTGTAATACTTGAACTTATTTTTCATTGAAAACCATGTTTTAAATTCATGACTGGTAATTTACCTTTATGAAAAAAATTCACAATGAGATGTGCCGAGAATTATATTACAGAGGATATTGCCTTCAACTTGGCAAACCTAGGGAAGCATATCTGTATAGCCAAATGACTAAATATGCATCAATGCCACCATACCATGCTATCTCATAGCAAACTAATAGAATCACGATGATTATACTGAGATCATAACTCATCATAGTTAATAAAATGGCACGAGTATAAGATGTTTGTACATCCATTGATATATCGTATATGGTTACGGATACGTTTATTATTGTAAGTACCTAAAACGAAATTATTAGGTAAGAAATACCGTAAGTATATTTGTAAAATCTTCAATAAATGTATCCACTTTATCTGAGAGTAACCTCAAAATTGAAGAAGTATTTTTTAGGGTCATAATTGAATCCATTGTATTAGGGTTTCCAGTGAAAATTTATCACAATTAATACGAGAAGACTGACGTGGAAATAAAGACTTGGAAACTGGGGCCAATTTGACTATGCTAAACGCCAGGGGAGTCAACCAGCAACAAGAAAAAAAGGCCGGGGAGTCAAAGCAAGGGCAGAAGGAGGCATGCGCCAGGTTGGGCAAGTCTACCCCCGCGCCCCCTAAATTTTTTTTTTTTTATTAATTAGGTATATATATTATATATTTGTATAATATATTATTTGTGTCCACCCAAAATTCAAGATAACAATGTTAGGCCTACATTATTTACTCAAAAGAATTAAAAAATCATGTCCATTTAAAACAAAAAAATTTGAGCCCACCACTATCTACCAAAACTTATTAAAAAATCAAATTTTTGATCTATCACAATTCACCCAAACCTGTTTTTTTTTAAATTTTAGTCCACCATTAAAAAACAAAATTTTTAGCCCACTTAACAAACATGAGTAACACCTATTTTATTAGTTATCTTTTTTTTTTCTCTCCGTCTCACTCACTCCCAACTGTCCAACTAGAAGAAACAGAGTAAAAATCCTTCCTCAGTTCCTAGGGTTTTTTTGTCTTTCCTTGCACAGTTGATGAGTTTAGTAGAGAGCATGGCCAGAGCCAGCATTTGCCCAACGGGACACATGTCCACCCTCAAATATTTTTTCTTATCATTACCTATATGTATTTCAAGTATTTTTTTAATTATGTCTACCCTATTTTTTTGGCACATCAATTAGTGTACACTTATATCAAATAAATATGAATTTTTTGACACATTTTGAACATGTTATGTACCTATCTAGATAAATTTTGAATATACTAGAATCATTTTATATTTTTTAAGACTAAAAAAGATATATATATATATATATTCGCTAGTTTACTTGTGATTTTAACATTTATTTTGTTAATTATGGTAGAAAGTATAGAGTGCACATTGAACAACATAATTGATCGAATGAATTATAAATACCAAAGTGATAAAATGATGGTGTATATAAAGAATAATAAAGTTGTTATGCAATGGTTTCAAAGTATCAAAATTCACCGCAATCAATTCTAAATGATTTTAATTAACCTATATTTTATAAAAATAAAAAAAATAAAAATTGGTGTCATTTGTATATACTAAGCTTACCAAATTTTTGGATTTAATGAACTTTTAAGTATTAAATAGGATTTAATTGAATATAAATTATTGTCCTATTTCTATTGATTGTAAAAAAAATAGTTTGTTGAAATATTTGTGTCCACCCTGACATGACTTTCTGGCTCTGTCCCTGTCAAAGGGGATGAAATAAGATAGGCATTTAGGAGTTTAGCATTAAGAGCAATGCTATAAAACTAGAGATGGCAGTGGACCGAATAAAAATGATATTCATCCAAATTCGTCATGTTTGAATTGGGGATAGACCATACATATTAGATGATAGACGTATAGGAGGATATCCGTATAAACTTGTGCGGGAATAAAGGCGAGAATGGACTAACACTTACCTTTGTCCTGCCACTCCTTACCTTACTTTTTCGGAAGGTAAAATGTATAAAAATAAAATGGATATACAAGGAAGTCACTTGGGACCCAAAGACAAGACAAGAAAACCCAAAAATCTAGGGCTCAAGACACAAGTCTGTAGGAGATGCCTTGAGTAAGAGTATATACCACAGAATTGTTGACAAGAATACATTGGTAAACAAAAGAAGACAGAGCATGAAACCAATTCTGCCCCTCAACACCACTGATATGCACGGAGGCAGACCAATAACAACATGGGGTCTTGTAAATCCATAGCAAACTATATGCAGTAGCAAGAAATCAGGGTAAAGTAGAGCAGCCCATCTCAACATAGCAGCGGCAAACATCAAACGGACAGCCACATAACAAGCACACGCATTCCAGAGCAAAGCAAAAATAGTCCAGCTCCACATAGCAGCAACTACAATGCTACCTTATCAAGCATCAGCAACCAGCACAAAGACAAAAAATAGCACCAGCAACTAGCCCAAACACAACAAAAATGTCCAGTAGACAGCCCCCAACACAGCCCAATTCAAAAGACAAAAAAAACAGCACCAGCAACACATCCCAACGCCAAGCAACAAACATCAAGCACATGTCATGGAGTTCCACACCAGAACAACCCATACAATAAAAAGAACAACAAATGTTGTCCATCCAAAGGAAAGGAATACCAATGTTCATGCTATGCAGTTGAGAGGAAGATCCCATAGATGCAACATCCTTAGATTCTGGGTGGAGTATTTGAATTTAGTAGACATGAGCTTGTCCTTGACTGCTTGTTTGATGATTCGAATCAGAGAGTTGCGGTCCTGAATTGGTTTGAGAACACTCTGGAGTTCCTCTCCATCCATAAATGATAAACTGTGGAAGCAAGGCTAAGTTTAAGTATGACAGAGAGCATAGATCTCCCCTTCCACTGGGTAGCAGCCCAGTTGATGAAGGAGTGCCAAGGAGAAGGAGACCACTAAATTTGGCTGCAGGCGATAATGGATTCCCATACACTATGGGAGAAGGTGCATTCAAAAAGAGATGAGCATGAGTCTCAGGGAGTTGCCTGCAAAAGATGCACCCCAAGTCCACCTGATTGGCAATAGAGAGAGATCTGTCTTTGGTATATAATCTTTGCCTAATGGCAAGCCATAAGATAAAGTTCATCCTGGGGATGAGATGTGTGTGCCAAACAAGCTTCGACCAAGGAATTTTTTGCCCAAAAACTTTGATGTAGTGCCAAGAAGAAGTTGTAGTAAAACGACCATTTGCAGCGAGAGACCAAAGGACATTGTCAGCAACAAGATGGTTGGGGGAATAAGCAAGCATATAATCAACAATCCTGGCCAGAGCAAAAGAAGAGGAGTTGGGCCAGCACCATTGAGACCCAGAGAGGTCTGATAACCTCCCTTAGCTTTAAAATATTATGTCATGTCCAAGAGCTCGTAGGGGTAGCTCTGATTTCCCAAAGACTTCTCCCTCTTAGGTGGTAAGAGTGAATCCACCTTGACCATAAAGTCTGCTTGTCAGTGAATAACTTCCAAATGTGCTTCATAAGCAAGGTAGCATTCCAATCCTTGAGCCCCTTAATGCCTAATCCACCCTCATCTTTAGGTTTGCAAACTTCAGTCCATGCCACTTTAGCACCGGTGTTCTTCAAATCAACACCCTTCCATAGAAAAGCCCTCACGAGCTGCTCAATTTTATCAATTACAGACTGCGAAAATGCAAGATGGGAGGACCAGAAGACTTGAATGGAGCTGATGATATAGGTCACAAGTTGGAGCCTACCCGTTATTATTATTTTATATTTTATGTATGTATATATATACACACACATACATGTTGTTGTGAATACAAATCTATAAATTATTGAATAATTTTTTTCTTTTGAAAATTAGTTTATTTTTTGATTTTTTTTTCATGTTTTTGACTTGTAAAAGTGTAGATCTTTACATTTTTCTATTTTTTTTATGTTGGATTATGTTATGTTACATCATGTTGTGTTGTATGATGTTGTATTGGATTTATATGGGAAACAAGCTTTTAATTATATTATGTTGGATTTATGTTGTAGATGACAAGTTTTTAATT